AGGAGGAGATGTATGAAGGCAGCAGACCAAGAAGTGGGAGAGTCTGTGTGAAGTTAATGATGACCAGTTAACCAATGAATACAGGGTGCAGTGACGGGTACAGTAGTTACAGCCATTTATGAATCAGTGCACAGTGATAGACAGCGTCCAACATCTGCAGGGTGCTTGTCGGAGCGTTCATGTAAATAATGTCACCGTAATCAATGGAGGGAAGGAAAGTAGCAGTTACAAGGTGTTTCTTAGCATTCAGAGTTTGGATCTATTTCTAAAAAATAAACCCCGTTTTACTTTCAGTTTCTTTACAAAGTTTTCGATGTGGAGCTTCCAAGAGAGATGCAAGATACCAAAGTATTTGTAAGAATTGACAAACTCAATAGGGACACCATTCGAAGATAAAATAGAAGGAAGGACTGCTGGTACCAACTTCCTGTTTGAAAACAACATCCCTTTGGTTTTGTCAGCATTTAGCACCAGTTTGAGATGGAACAAATCGGACTGGATGATGTCAAAAGCAGACTAAAAGCTGGAAAACCTTAGCAACGGTTATAACTCGACAGTGTTGTCAGCATAGAAATGTAAGGCTGCATCAGGAATGAACTGACCTACGTTATTTATGCAGATTGTGAAAAGAGTGGAACCTAAGACTGAACCTTGTCATCATCTGAGAGCAGGTTGAACCCAAATACAGGCAAGACACAGGGAACTCGGAAAATAAAATAAACTGTTTATTTACAGAAAACTAAAGGCTGACTTGGCAGCAAAACTGACACGTAGACGACGAGGGGATCACGAGAGAGCAGAGACAGACCATGGCAACAACGGGAGGACAATAGACAGGGAAACAAAGACAAGACGCAGGATTTATAGGGACACTGGGTAAACAGAAACAGCTGGGAAAAGTGACAGGTGAATGACAGGTGCTAATTACATGAGGGAAAATGTATGAGAGCAGGAACAGGCCACAAGGGGGAGATGACACAGGGAAACATAATCCTCACACTTGTGGAACTCTGTTAAGATGGCTGGAAGAAGAACCGTTATGTTGAACACATTGCCACTGATTTGAGAGATCCAACCAAGTGTGATCTGAGAAACCAATTTCAGAGAGATAAGAGCTTATGACATAAGCTATCATGATCCACGTGTCAGAAGCTTTAGACAGGTCTAAATAAAGTGCAGCACAATAGTCCTTAAATTAATCTGGTCCATCAGAACCAGATTCTGTTGTGCTGAAGCAGAGAGATGCATTCAGTGTGTGTCAGACATCTCCCTTCTGTCATTTACTATGAGTTAGCTCAATTTAACCATCCTCTTTGTGGTTAACTACTTTTATAAACCAACTATAGGTAGTTGCTGTGCGTCAATGTTAATATTTTCTCACTAAAATTTGTTTGTATTAAAGATGTGTGAAGAAATGTGTGAGAGAGTCACATCCCAGAGACAATGTTTTAATGTTGCTCCGCTGTGGTCGGCTGTCTTGAATGCGGTCCGTCAAAAAGTTGTAGACGCACACCCAGTGATTACTTTGAGAGCAAAAAGTGTCTACTGGTTCACGAGATATTTTGCTAACACTACAGACAAGTGAACACCCCCCCCCCCCCCCCACACACACACAGATATAATGAATGTAATTGGAAGAACCCAACTGAAAATAAATGTCTGCAATGTTTGTGTTTTGTTTTCCCCATGTGACCTAAATTAGAAACTGCTGATAATGGTTAGAAACTGAAAGAGGTTTCTGCTTTGAAATAACTTGACATCAGTTTAGAGACATACCTTTAGCAATGTTAGTGATTTTGGGAGTTTAATCAACATATTAATACATTTTGCAGGGCGGTAACTTTATTTTTGAGAGGCCTTTGCATAACAGGAGACAGCAAAAGAACTCACCTCATCTGATTGGATTAGGCTCCAAAATCTGTCAGGCCAACAAGAAATATGGACAACGTTTCCACATCAAAGAGAAGGCAGAGGAGCGCTGTTTGTTGTGAAGGAAGCGGTGAGGATGTCGGCCAGGTGTCAATCGCAGCGGAGTGTCGAACCTAATTCCTTACAGTGTTTGGACACAGAAGAGCAGCCTGTGTCCTTGTGCACAAATGAGTTTGTCACATAAAGTATATTTACATGCAGCGCAAATAAAGAAGTTTGTGCCTTGATTTTTATGGTCTAATGCTCATTTTGGGCTGGAGGCAATGAAGAGGGAAAACACAGAGAATGGCCATAAACAAATGAGTCTTTAAAAAACTCGGAGACGTCCGCCACTTACAATAAAAACAAAAGCTGCTGATGTTTAGCTCCAATGTGTCCCAATTTTATTTACATTTTCTGCACTTTAATGACCATGAAGCGAGTCCAAATGTTTTGTGAGTCTTCTGGTGAAGATGTGCACAATTATGTTACCGTACTTTATGCCATACATGTCGCACCGCCGTATAAGTCCCATCAGTCCAAATATGTCTAACAAAGTGGAAAAAAACATAAATAAGTCACTTTGTCGTAGAAGTCACATCTGTTATGTGTCACCGCTGACCACTTGGAAACGTGGGCCGGTGTTGTACCAAAAGTCAATTGGTTGCTAAATGGCGGCTGTGGGAGCGTGCGCGGGAAAACTTTAACAAGAATTTAACAAGATTAACACTTAAAAACAATTATTTGTTTGCTTGAAATTATAGCAAAGGTGTGTCTCAGTTGAACTTTTCCTTAATAAATGCACTTTAATGGTCAAATCAGCTGCATTTAGCTTGGGCGGCGGGGCGAAATGCAGCTGATTTGACGTTTGCTCCAGGAGTTCTGGAGAGAGACGAAGGTGACCTATATGGCAAGCCTAAAAGTGGCTATTAATGAGACACTTAGCTTGCCATACAGTTTGAGCACCCTCTATCGTCTGAAAATGGTAGTGTTCAATATTTTCCATGTCAGAATGAATGAAATTGTCAAATCTCAGCCAAAAATTGGTTTATAAATATGGGGAAAATATATATTAGTTGCTTTGGTGTATAAGTCGCAGGACTCGCAAATTTATGCAAAAAGGTGTGACTTATGTGGCAAAGAATATGATATATATATATCCCTTTGTTGAACTAAAAATGCACAAATGTAAAGAAAATGATTCAAATAAAACAATATTTTGAACTTTATACCACAGGTTTAAAAGAATTCACAGCAAAATTCTGGAAATTGTATGATGCTCAAAACTAATGAAGCTCTTCGAAGCAAATCCAATTAAACATTGTCTGCTTCTTTAAAGGTCAAAGATGAGGTAAAAGTTCCACACTGAGGGAACTGTTTCTCAATAAATAAAAACTGTTTGTGAATTTTTCTTTTAATCACAGACTATTTGTGCTTTTTAATAATGATTTCTGAAAAAAAGCACAAGGATAAAAAAATAATATTGAATAGTTTTTTCACATCCTCAGCTTTCACCTATAAAAATCAGAGTGCTGAAAAATGAGAAGTAAAACAAAGTTGCTTCAAACCTGAAGGAAAAAGAGGAAAATGTTTTAGTTTTCCTAATGCTCACATTGATTTATTAACAGAAGCACCTCAGAAATTAAGAGAAAACTTTGGTTCAAACTTTATTGATATGTTTGTGTTAACACGTCTGGCATATTGTCTCTATTTCCAGTCAAATAAAGTTTAAGCTTAATTGACAGTTTATTAAGGCTTATAACCTTTTGGGTGCACAAATTTATTGATTTTTATGCTTGCCAGCTGCACTGAACAAAACATTTTATGATGTAATACAACAAGATTCTGTAAGCTTTTCCACAACTGTGTAATATTAAAATGTATTTAACTGTTAACTGATTTGTACCATGCACTATATCAGCTTAAAGGTAAATAAATAATGACTATATGCTTTAAAAACAGAATTTGAAACTGTCACCTGGAGAAATATTTTCTCTTTCTATTTCTGTGCCAACAGGAAAAAAAAAGAACTTTAATGACAAATAAAATAAATGAAAAAAAAAAACCGTACAATACAATAAGAATGTTTTAAATGTGATTATTTTATTAGTCGTCTTGTTTATATATTGAGCTCCTCTCTAGCTCGTGACCAGGTTTCGACTGGTCCATTTGTTTAAAGTATCGATACTTTCTTGATCTAAGTCATGTGATGCTCAGCTGGGCTCAACCCGTGGCTGTGATGGTGCATTGTTCTGGGTCAAAGTGAGAAACTTTATTCATCTGTTCAAACTTGTTTTTTTTTCTCTCAAGTGACTTGTTGCGACAACGTTAATGGATCAAAAGTTGTGTGCAAGAAACACACAAAAAAAAAATCTGATCTGGAAGGAGTTTGTGTTTTGCGTCAGAAGTCTGGCACTAACCTGGGAAGTGTCTGTGCAGCAGGAAGAAGAAAAAAAGTTGCCCCATTTGTCACCTTCACCTGCGGCCTCTTCATCACAGACGTGCACATACACACGCGCGCGCGCGCACACACGTCGTTTTGTTTTGCATGCGCGACAGGAGGCTGCGAGTTTTGACGGAGAGGATGCGCCACAGACGGATGCCTATGATTCTGAATTTAAAGTGCACTTCTGTCTATTTACTTCCAGATTGTCGTGTCGTCGATGAGTCTTAACAAACTTAAGCCAACTTTACAAAGAGACGCTGCCGGCTGCACAAACCTGCTGCGTGAATCCCTTTAAAACAAACAATTTTGGACAAATCCATCTGTTTTTGTTGCGTCCGCAGATGCTCAGTCTGGTCTAAACGCGCGCTGCGCATCTCCACATCAAAGACACGCGCTTTTAGGGACTGACAACATCCAGGGAGGGGTGTGTGTGTGTGTGTGTGTGTGTGTGTGTGTGTGTGTGTGTGTGGGGGGGGTGATAAGCATATAAAACCTCTGGGTGCATTGCGTTGTCACAGTGCCAACAACTTGGACGTGCTGTTGATTTGAGCATCCGCGTGCAAAATGGCTCACTGGTTGGATTTGAGTGGTGGGGACGTTCCTGAGATGTTTTACTTAGAACAGCACCCGCCAGTTACGCGCCCGGGCATGAACGACAATAATTACGCACAGGAATCCAGCTCAGGTAAGTTAATGTTTTACCTTTGGGGCGCAACGCTTTGGATTCAGAATCATCTGCCGCTTGTTGTTTGCTTTTAAATTTGTCTAAATAACTTTAACATTCCAAAATCTGAGTTGATATCAGCACCAAGTTGATTTTATAGCATTTTGAACCATAATTAACGAGACGTCGCTCGTCCTGCAGCGCGCAGGGATGCTGCGTTCAAGTGTCGCTCGGACACCACGCGTCGACGGAAGCGCACCACCTTCACCAAGGCGCAGCTTAGCCTGCTGGAAGGGACCTTCTCTGTCACACAGTACCCCAACATTAAAATAAAGGATTGTCTCGCCGACATAACCGGTCTACCGGAGTCTAAAATCCAGGTACGAGACGTTCCGCACTTGTTGAACCCAATGTATTTCGTTTTAACTGAAAACTGAATCTGTTGTTTTCACAAGGTTTGGTTTCAAAACAGACGCGCTCGCCACTTTAAGAGCAAGAAACTAAGCAGAGAGGCTTCTGGACTTCATGCAGACCTGCAGCCGGAGTTCATCCTAAACGCACGCGGCATTCAGCTGGACCCGGGTCTGCCGTCCCCACCAGGATACCCCGCTCCAAGTCTGCCTCAGTCCTCCAGGCTCTCTACAATCCGGAACCCCGACTCATCTACATCCTGGCACCCGCGCGGATCCTACCAAGACCACTGCTCAGACTTTTCTGATTTGTGTGAAAACGTGCACACGTACAGCGGACTCGATGATTGTTCGGAGGCTTTCCTCGGAGACGCGCACGGATCCCGGCTGGAGTGCAGCAGCTCTCATCCCGAGAACAACGAGACCCTCCTGCAGGACCCCAACAGCCCCCAGGAGTCTCTGGAGGACCTGTCTGATCTGGACCTCCAGGATCTACTGGGCGACTTCAAGCCGTCAGATTTGGACATTTCTGTTGCAATAATGATTGATGACCTTTTTGGACTGTATCACTAAAATGTGTTTATCTCGACTCATTGAGAACTATTTCAGTGCTGGTATTTATAGTATGCTGTGAAGAAAATATTAAAACAGATTGAACAGAAAAATGAACATGTATTAAGATTTATTTTTAAAATTATATTCATCGCACCACGTGGCGCCGTGGCTTAGTTGGTTAAAGCGCCTGTCTAGTAAACAGGAGATCCTGGGTTCGAATCCCAGCGGTGCCTTTTCATAAAACGTATTATGACGTACACCGAAAGCATAATGTGAAACTATTAAAATTTTTTAACGTAACAATCATAACCCCTTAACAGAACCCCCCCCCCCCAAAAAAAATCTGAAACTAGAAAAACAAATCATAACTAGTTTTTTAATCCTTACACAAAAGTTTGGTCTCTGTAAACGTAATATGCTGAAATTTTAACCTCTGCGGTTTTATGATAACTATAGAGAAATGGCATTTCCTGCAGAAATGCAGTGTGAAGTTGCTTTTAGCTGCGAAAATGCAGTGAATGCTTATTACGTTAACTTAAAAACCAGCAGAACGAACACATATTTGCTGAACTGGGTTTAAATAAGCAGAATGAGCAAGAAAATTAGGAAATTAGTTAAAAAAAAGAGCTGAAATTAGAAAACAAATAGCTGAAAAGTAGCTGAAAAGGCAAAAAAAAAGCTTAAACTACCAGAAGGTAGGAACCCCGGAGGGGACATGGAGATTTTTTTTTGGTAACTACAAACCTAAACTTTTTTTTTTTTTTTTTTTTTTTTTTTTGCTAGTCAACACATTCTGACAGCAAGCTTTTTGAAACCGTCTCTTGTCTTTGTGTGAATAAATGAAACAAAACAGGATTTTAATTTGTAACCAGAATACTGTTAAAACAACTCATAATGAAGGCAAATTATGCTACATATTCAATGCATAAAAAGAAGGACAAATGCACAAAAGAGTGCGATTAAAGCACTTTTTATTTTATTTATGAGGCTGTAAACAGAATGTTTTTATTACTGCATTTTGTCCAGCAGAGGGCGACATGCCTTTAAGAAATTACTCCGCACAGAGTCCTGTAATATACTTGTCAAATGCAAAAAATACCCAGCAGAGGTCAGTGTGTGCACATAAAATGATGCCGTGCAGAAATCACAGACCTGCATCACCCAAAAGTACATTTGAGAGAACTTTAAAAGGTTGTGAAAAAATGCATTGTAAAAACAAGTTGAAAATAATATAGGAAGCAGTCAGCACTAAAATGTAAAACTCATCCTCCTACAGCACACATTATGAATTTATCATCATGATTAATGTTCCAACAACAAATGTGATGGAAAAGGAACTATACTGAGCTCAAAGAGATTCAAACGCAGTGGATTTTCTCCTTGGCTCATCACTTCTCTGCTTTGGATGAATCGGGCGCCTCCTCACGCTTGCAGCCCAGCCAGTATTTTGCAATGGATCGTGGGTAAGGAGGGCTGGCATTGTCCACACGTTTTGTCTGCAGAGCCACTCTGTAGTACTTGTCTGCAGTCATGAATAAAAAAAAAGGCAGATGAATTAAAAGTTGTTAAGGCCAGAACAGCAATGTGGAAAGGTCCTGTTATAGATATCCATATATATTTATACCTCTTATGAAAAAGTACACATTTTGAACTGGGGTGTAGTCCTGAGCTGTGGTTTCATCAGCGATGCCGCTGTAATCTTCGCTGAGGTCAAACCAGTCGTTGTAGAGCCACAGATCATCAAAAATATCGCGACTCTGCCTTCTCCGATGCCAGCCTCGCCTCTTGCTGGGCCTCCTCCTTCGACTGCTTCGCCTCCTCGCAGGTGGAGTCGATGCCGTGGGACTGGAACTGAGATAAACTTTACCCACCATGGCCGCATCTACAGGGGGCCTGACGCCGAGCCAGTCTCTACTGATGAACTGAGGCCTAATGTTGTCACTGCTGACTGAAGGAGAATGAAGGAGAATTAAAAAAACAACTCGGAAAATAAAGTGACATCAGAAAGACGTGTGAAAAACATCTATGGTGGGGCCTTACAAGAACTTCCAAAAAGATCAGTGAAGAGATCCTCCAAGGTTTGATCGCACATCAGGTCCGTGTATTGTGTGAAGAGCACAGAGGGGGAAGCTCTGCTCATCTGGATACACTCTCCGTGGGACGGCTGGTGCTTGAACTCATACTGGTAATATTTATCCCCTGAAGCAAAAAATAGTTTTTCATCCGAAGACAGTTTGACAACACTTTATTTTACTCCCACAGTTTACAAAACAAATTATTTTCTGAACTTGAGTGGACATATATCCTTAAATTCACTTGGAACAACATAGTTATTAAGTAAAACAGTAACAATGTTCTTTTGCAATCCTAGACATGTTTTGCTTCTTGAGTCGCCCTCTTGTGGTCAATTAAAATATTGCAGGTTGATTTCACTGTGGCCTCACTTCTCAGACTATTTAATCTTTACATAAAGGAAGAATATATGAAAAAATACAGTAAAGAAAAAAATGTTATCTCAAAATTTAGGCAAGTTTTAGAAACAATTATAAAGAGCAGTATGGTTTGTAGCATAGGTCTTGGGTAAAATATGTAAAATATTTAAAAGGGATGTATAAATATCAGTACAAATACCTTTAAAGAAGTAAGCTTTCTCCTTTCCACGATGATTTGGTGCCGGTACAGCAAATGCCGCATCAACATCATCTGGTATTCCTTCAAAACCAACAGAAATGTCCCTTGGATAGTCCTCATCCAAGACATCACCATCGAACCTCCAGTACTTTTTACCCTAAAAAGCACAAAGTGTGTAAAGTGAAAAGTGGCGGGCTTTGACAATAGTCAACACCCTCGATGATGAGCGCAGACTTTTCAGAGTGAATAATTGACTCGGTTCTGGGAAACGGTTCACATTTAACCTCACCCAGATTCTGCAAAGCACTTTACAATATTTTCCTCTCAACCATTCAAACAAGCGGGGAGGTAGTGTCCTGCCCAAAAACACTTCGGTGCAACCTCAGAGGATTCTGATTCATTTGTAAGTAGATTTAATTGAACTGACAACCACAAACACTGTGGTACAACTATTAGTTTAAACCAGACGTGGGCATCGAGCAGCCTGAGGGCCAACAGTGGTCCATGGACCATTTGGCTCCCAAAACTCTTAACTGAAAAGAAAACAACTTATGAATGAAACTTGAAGTTTAAAATAAACATCTGGGGTCAATAAAAACCTTTAAAATAAGGCTATTTAGACCTTAAAAACTCCCAAACTTAAATATATAACTTTTTAAAATCTCATATTTAGGTTAATATATTATCACAAGAGCCATTTTACAGAAACTATGCCTTAAATTTCTACAGTGTTGGGGATCATATTTTTATTGAGCGTGCTAAAACTATGGTACAAGAAAAAGCCTGAGAAACATATTTAAATATATTTTTTTAGATTTTGTGTCTTAATGAAATTTTATTTAACAATTCTCTAAGCATCATTTCTATTGCTTTAAATATTTTGATTTGGCTCTTAGGAAAAAAAAAAAGTTGCCCACTCCTGGTTTAAACCCTCCTGCTGTCCTTGGGTCAAAATAATTTTAGTTTTTGATCCAAGGACAGCAGGAGGGTAAAATCATCTGCAACCTAAGTGGAATTCTATGTGAAATTACATTTTCATGAAGATATAAATTGTTAAAACCTGCTCTAATTTATCTATCTGTCTGAACTGCTGAAACAAACAGGCATGTAAAGTTCTGAAACAAAGATTTTCCTAAGTTTAATGGCTGAATGTGCTGTTTATTGCTCGCTCCCAGATGACACAAGTCCTACCTTAAAGATGTAAGACTTTCCTTGGCAGTTGATGCGTGTGAACGCAGCGCTGACGGGCCCAGAGATCCCCCACACATCCTGGATGAGTTTGGGGTAACCAGGAAGTACGGATTTGTCGTCCAGCTCAAAGAAATACTCCCCTAGAAGAAGAGCTCATTTAATGTGAGGTGCTGTTTGCAAATGTCATTTTCAGGTTGGCATTTAAAAAGTTGAAAATAGTTCATTTCCATTTCATCCTCTCATAGAATAACAGAAAACAAAGTTTGATGCCACGTGTGGCATTTTCAAAAATGAGAAAACTTTATATAAAAGAGTTACAACAGGAGATAAGACTTTTATATGTTGACACTTTACAACTAAATCAGTGTTAAAGGTTCAACAAAGTTCAGTCAGGTCATCTGGACTGTTTCTTGTTTTGCTGAGCCATTTCGCCTTTCATCCAAAGGACTTCTTCAATCTCAGGAGCCACCAAACAAACTGACTCCCACCAATAGCATACTCCATAGTGGGAAAAACACAGTTTGCTGGTGCTAAAAACAGTTTTTTTTCCCACTATGGCGTATGCTGTTTGTGGCAATCAGTTTGTTTTGTGGCTCCTCAGATTGAAGAAGTCCTTTGGATAAAAGGCGAAACGTCTCAGCAAAACAAGAAACAGTCCAGATGACCTGACTGAGCATTGCTGGATCAGTATTAAAGGTGTTTTACTCTCTTTATTTTATCCTCCCAACCTAAAAGAACTGTTTCCTGGAAGAACAGAACAAACTAAAAGGATGAAACACTAATCTGTGTTTAGATCAAATTAAAGTATAAAAAACTGTGTGCGTGTGTAATCTATAAACTTTTTTGTGAAATACCAGTAGATAGATTTAAGACATCTAAAACCCGGGTCTTTAGTGAACCACAACAGTTTTTACCCCTGAACGCGTAGATTGAGCCGTTCTTCAGCTGCAGAAAGGCATCGAAGGGTCGACCGCTGCAGGGTGCTGCGTCCGGGTCATCAGGAGGCGTGGGCCCCGCGGTGGTGGTGGGTGGGGGCGTTGATGAGGGCAGGACTGTGGGTGCAGCTGTGTTCACAGTGGGTCTGAGGGTCGTGGTGAGCTCAGTAACGTTCACATCTTCTGCCTCTTCAAACGCGTCTCCTCGAGAAACTTTGAGCAGAACACACAGACACGTGATGATGTCGCCATTAAAACTCAATCACTCTGTGTTCATTGAAAGGTGAAGTCTGACTATAACACTGACTTTTCCTGGGGCAGATGGTGTTAAAGTCCCTGCAGCAGCTCCCATAGTACACACACATGGAGTCACACTGGCACTTCTTCTGCGGGTCGAAGGAGCCACAGCGGCCCATGCAGGACTCTGTGGAAATACAGCTTGTTTGTTTCAGCAATCCAGTCAAACTTTACCCACCAAGAAGAACTCGGGCCTTTTATGCTGTCTAGGTTGTACAACACAAATAAAACAAACAAAAGTTATATAAAGTCCAAAGAAATAATCAGCACAAATGACTTAAAGCATCATAAATAGACATTCTTGAACTTTTTACAGCAGAGCCGTTAATTCAGACCATCTGAGAAGACACATGTTGCAGCAGCTGTTGTAGCAATTCTCCAAATAATCAGCTTTTTAAATGGATTGTTGAAATATTTTCTTTGCAGCTTGAAACTAAAAGAGTTGTTACTGCGGGGAAGTATTGGAAAATTGCGACTCGGCACGCATTCTGATTTTTAAAGGCAATGAAGGTTGGAAACAAACAAACAAAATCATTACTTTTGATAAAACTGGTTTTAGTGTCATAATCATCAAGGCAAGGTAAATAATCTAAATGTTAAAAAAAAAAAAAATCAAATGAAAAACAACCAATTTCACTCAATTGTTTAGAGCAACAAAACAAAAATCAGACAAATAGACGTGTTCTTATGACTTATCGTATGATGCTAAAACTAGCACTGATTGATGGGAATGAAGTCAGAACTTAGAGTAAACTCACCTTCTGCTCCAAATGTAGTGTCCAGCAGAAGGACCAGGCCCAGCAGAACCACTGCTGGGTTCATGTTAACTCACAGCAAAGTCAAGCCTTCAAATGAGGACTGGCGGACTGTGGAAACGCTTTAAACAGTCAGCCAGCTGTCAGATGATGTAGCAACAGTGATCAATAGTTTGGTTTGTCGAAGCAGCTGACCCCTCAGGCATCTGCTCTCCTGGTTGGTCGATGGCTGCAGCAATCATTAAACTGGGATGTTTGATCCCTGTCCCATTTGTCCTGGGAACATCCAAACAGGACAAACAATAATGTCTGATGCTGGTATGTTAAAAATGGCTGAAATGTTATGTAACAAACCAGGATTGATGATGCACACGTGTATCTGTGGTCCTGGGCAGCAGATGTGAATTAATGCATTTATAACAGAAAGAGAGGAAAGTTGTGCAACTACAACTTTTATTGATTTCTGGCAGAAACAACTAAAAACAAACGCAGGGTTTGCGTTCAAATGTATCCTTGGAAACATTAAAAAAAGAGTGAATATTGTAAACTGTAACAAAAACTTGTTGGGTGGCTGTTTTGGACGTCTGCACACAGACGTTATATGTCCTCTCAGTACCAGGCCTCTGCTGCACGCTGAAGGATTCATCCACCTCCATCAAGGGCTGCAGTCAGAGACAAACAGGTTTAAACTAAATCAAGTTTATGATTTTAAACTGGGATCCCAGTAGAAGCTCAGACTGTGTTAAATGTTATGTGTGATTGTAATATGGACTTTGGTTTGTAGTACAGTTCATCTTATTCACTGCCTTATCCATCCATCCATCCATCCATCCATTTTCTTTACCCGCTTATTCCATTTTGTGTCACGTGGGTCGCTGGTGCCCATGTCCAGCAATCACTGTGCGAGGGGCGGGGTACACCCTGGACGGGTCGCAAGTCCATCACAGGGCCACATAGAGACAAACAACCATTCACTCTCTCACTCACACCTAGGGACAATTTAGAGTTACCAATCAGCCTAACATGCATGTTTTTGGTCTGTGGGAGGAAACCGGAGTACCTGGAGAAAACCCACGCATGCACGGAGAGAACATGCAAACTCCACCCAGAAAGGCCCCTGAACCGGGGTTTGAACCAAGGACCTGCTCGCTGAGAGGCAGCAGCTCTACCAGTTGCGCCACCGTGCTGCCTCACTGCCTTATCTCTAGTAGTATTTGATCAGAAACACTAATTGGCAACATTTTCACATTGTTTGAATGTTAGCCAAATAACTCATTGTGCTTATTTCTATGAGAAAAGCTAAAACAAAATAAATATCTGAGTGGCAAAAGAATGAATCTGTTCTAACCAGTAACATTGCAGAGTTGCCAATTTCTTTTTGATGCTTGTGTCATTTTTGTTTAGTTGAACACTACGAGAGCCCAGAACTGAACACTGAAGGACCAGGAGACAAGAGTTAAAAGGTAAGTGAGTTTATTTACAGGTTTTGGAGAAGACAGTGGACCAGGAGGTCTGCAACAAAAGGAATGATGGGTGAGTGTGATTTCTTGGAGCATTGATTCCACAGAGGTGAGAGGAGCAGATGTCCAGAGCGGACAGGCGGGTGCAGAGTGTGAATAATTGTTTGTCTGCAGGGCTGGAGCTGAGTGTTTACCAAAAGGATCCCGGAGTCAGACCCAAGAACCAGGAGACTGGTCAACACAGGGGGATCAGGACCAGGCTGCAAGGGATGCAGGAGTCATGTAAGTAAGTAATTAATGCAAATTATTCAGGGGTTGTCGGTTTAGTCACCATTGCAACGCAACGCTTCAACGGTGAACTGAAGTCAGTCAAGGCCTTAAGAAGGTTAGAGCAGATAAAATGTCCAGCAGAGGGAGTTCATACCACAGATCCTAAAAAAAGTTATTTTGTTTTTGTTAACCCATCAGTTGCTCATTTGGTTACACGTGCTGTTATTTTAATCACACTTCAGACAGTCAGACAGATACTTACATACATACTTTATTAATTCCAGGGGGAAATTTGAGGCATCCAGTAGCATGCTCTAATTATACAGAAAAAAGACACATGTGAAATAATCAAGAAAGAAGCAGAATGCACACATTTTGAAAAGACAATATTCACATGCACAAGGTGGTAGGGAGTACTACATTCATGATTAACTGATATATATTAGCATACGCACACACACACACACACATATAGACTCATATATATATATATATATATTTATATACATACACATAAGTGTTCGGGGTGCTGCAGATTTACAAGGCTCTATTTTTACCGTACGGGAAAGAGTTGAACCGTCTGATGACCTGAGGGACAAAGGACTTCCTGAATCTGTTTGTGGAGCAGGGCTGGGACAGCAGTGCACCGCTGAAGGAGCTCCTCTGCTTCATGATGGAGCAGTGCAGAGGATGTTCAGCCTTGTCCAGGATGGATATAGCAGCTTACTGAGGGACCCTCTCTGCCACCAGTGTAAGGGACTCCAGCTCTGTTCCCAACACAGAACCAGTTGTCCTCACCAGCCTGTCAAGTTGTCCTGCATCTCTCCTCTTAATGCTGCCTCCACAACACACGACAGCACAGAAGAGGACACTGGCTACCACAGACAGGTAGAAAGTCAGAACGTTTTTTGAACATCAGCAGTAGTTTCCTGCAGATACTGAAGGACTCAGTCTCCTCAGGAAGTAGAGCCTGTTCTGACCCGTGTTCACTGACCAGTCCAGCCCGTCATCCAGCTGTAATTCCTAAGATGTTTGTAGGTTCTGACCACCTCCAACATCGACCTCCTCAATTGAGACTGACTTCAGGGTGGGCCCAGACCTGTCAAAATCCACTAGCATTTCCTTTGTTGTACTGATGTTCAGCTGTAGATGGTTGGATTTGCATCACACTACAAAGTCCTCAGCCAGGGTCCTGTACTCCTTTTATGACTGATAATAATCCATAAACTCATCAGCTGTCCTGCTCTGGACGAAACAGACTCAGAGACTGATCAGCCTGTCAGCGGAAATGGGGCACAGCTGAACATTTAGACATAATTTAATGTAAAACTCCTGCAGCTTAGTCTTATCATTTAGTTATAGTTAAAATATTATCTGTTTGTTAAAGTTTAGTAAGGCAGTAGTTTTTTTAAAACTCTTCAAACATCCAAACTCTCCTCACAGCTGTTGAAATTGAGCATGTCTTACAAATACTCCAAACCAGTGCAACTGATCTATACCTAAACTACATCAAAATATTTCAGTCCTTGTCAATAAATGCACTTTATTTTGTCTTAACAGATTAAATTCACAAAGTAGTTGTGTCATTTTCTTATACAGTTATTGTACTGACAAGTGATGTTTGGTGTGTCATTGAACAAAACCTGTTTTTTTTGTGTGTGTGTGTGTGTTTCTGTTTTTGTTTGTTCCCTTTTTGTTTAACTGATGTCATTTGAACTAGAGGAGAACATGGATCTTATCATTGGTCACACATTCATTCTGAAGTCTTATCTCACATATGGACTATGTAAGAAGTAATACATATATAAAAAAACAAAAAAAAACAACATTCGAGAGATGTAAAGATAATTCAATGTGCTGTGAAGGCTGTAAAATTCAAGCATCAACCTTTAATGTTTGACAGATGCAGCAATTACTGTCATTTGCCACAATCAAAGGTGAGTAATTATGTAATTGCCTATGTCTTGTTTATCTGTTAGCAAAATATTTAGTGAGCCACTGGACAGACTTATCTCAGAAAGTAATCACTGGATGCTACTTTTGGGGCCAAACTGATTCAACATGGCTGAGAAAAAAAACATGGTTCTAATGCAGTTAAATGCACAAATATTGAGCTAAAGTTTGGGGTGGTAGTAGCTGAGACTCATCGCCAACATGTATTTTGAGGAAATATGTGTTGAGATTAATCTCAATGAAATAAAAGTTTGACACCCAGTCACCAATAAAGGTTTGATGAGTAAGGCGACAGGCAATGTGCATTCTTTCAAGGAATGTTAGCTTCAAAAGCAAGTGCACTTAATTAAGGGCAGTCCAGCTGGTTCAGCCTGAGATAACAATGTTGATTAAAAGGCTGTTCTTCTTCATTCCTCTAGTCCAGGGTTCTGCAACCCTGCGGCTCTGGAGCCATTTGTAGCTCTTTGGTCCCCCCGCAGTGGCTGTTTCAAGCTTTGACCAAATGTAAAACTGAATTCTATAGGATGTTATACCCACAACAAAAAATCACTAGTTTTAGAAGTTTTCCTGTCATTTCCTTTGCAAATACATGGATACTAGCACTAATGGTTTCCAGCTACTTTGTACAAGTACATGGGGTACACCTGAATGACAACCTCAGCTGGAGCAACAACACCACCAGCCTGATCAAGAAAGCTCATCAGAGACTTTACTTCCTCAGACGGCTGAGTTGAGCTGGTCTGGGAAGCTCAGTCCTCACCTCCTTCTACAGGTGTGCAGTGGAGAGCATCCTGTGCTCGAGCATCAACGTGTGGCATGGAGGCTGCACAGCTGCAGAAAGAAAAGCTTTGCAGAGAGTGGTGAAGGCTGCACAGAAGACTGTTGGATTCAGTCTCCCCACCATCACAGACAAATACACCTATAGATGCAGGAAGAGGGCCACCTGCATCATGAAGGACCCCACTCACCCAGCACACACACCTTTTGCCCCGCTCCCCTCAGGCAGGAGGTTAAGGAGCATTAAGTGTAGAACCACCAGAGTTATGGCAAGCCCTTTTAACATAAAATAGGATTCACCACGCTTACATTCCAGATATCTGAAACTGAGTTTTGACTAGACATATTGGTTATTTAAGATATCTTGAATTGCATTTTGACTAGTCAAAATACTCATTTAAGATATCTCTAATTACATTCTGACTAGTCATAATGACGTCAGATTTACCATTGAGTTGTATGGAGGCTTCAATTCAAGATATCTTGAACTGAATTTTGACTAGTCAAAAATACAGTTCTAGATATCTCTAAGTTAATTTTGACTAGTCATTATTTGCTTTCAAGATATCTCACTTTTAGTTCTGACTAGTCATAATTACAATTAAAGATATCTTAAATTACGTCATTATTCAAGA